TATTAATAAAGAATAGAATTATAACGTTTTTATAAATATTTAAATATATTATTTAATATAATAGATAAATAGCTTTCTAAGCGTTTAAAGAATTATATAAATTTAAAGAGTAATTATAATTATAAAAGCTTACTTAATAGTAGATATAAAGCGAATTCTAAATTAAGTTATACTCGCTTCTAATACTCTATACTTTCTAGATTAAAATAATTAATTAAAAGATATATTTTCTCTTTCGTAAAACATATAATTCTTTATAATTGTTTTGATATTTATTTATTAAGATTAAATTTAAATTAATTATATTTTATTAAGAATATATATCTATAGCGTAGTATAGTAGCGATAATAGTTTAAAAACTTAATAATAATACTAGAAAGGCTATAGTAATAATATCTCTCTTATTAAAAGTGTTTATAATATATAAATATAAAATAAAATAAAAAGGTTAGATAAAGTTAGTAGGAAATTAAAATTATAATAGATTTAATTAGATCGCGATCGCGCTAAAGTCTAAGATATTATCTAGTTAAATTAACGGCCGTCGAATAGAGCTAATTCCGCTTTAAATTATTCTTTTAAAATTCGTTATTAAATCTATCTAGATTTTTATAAAAAAATTAATAAAAAAAAAAAAAAAATTTTTTATTTTTTTTTTTTTTTTTAATTTTTAAATTTATAATTTTAATTTAAATTTTTTTTTTTTTTTATAAAAAAAAAAAAAAAAAAAAATAAAAAATTTTTTTTTTTTTTTTTTTTTTTTTTTTTTTTTTTTTTATATTTTTATTTTTTTTTTTTTTTTTTTTTTTTTTTTTTTTTTTTTTTTTTTTTTTTTTTTTTTTTTTTTTTTTTTTTTTTTTTTTAATTATTTTATTTTTATTTTTTATTAAAAAAAAAAAAAAAAAAAAAAAAAAAAAAAAAAAATTTTAATTTTTTTTTTTTTTTTTATTTTTTTTTTTTATTTTATTTTTTAATTTTTTTTTTTTTTTTTTTATTTTAATTTTTTTTTTTAAAAAAAAGGTTTTTTTTTTTTTTTTTTTTAGTTTTTTTTTTTTTTTTTTAAAAAAAATAAAAAATAAAAAAAAAAAAAATTTTTTATTTTAAATAAATTTGATATAGGTGGTTTTTTCTTTTATAGCTTTTACTATTACTTATTTAAATAGCTACTATACCTTCAAAAAAAAAAAAAAAAGAAGAGGAGAGAGAAAAAAAAAGAGATTTGATTTTCACGAATAAGTTAGATCTACTAAGATAAATTTTTTTTTTAAATTTTTTTTTTTTTTTTTTTTTTTTTTTTTTTTTTTTTTTTTTTTTTTTTTTTTTAAGATTTACTATTATTCGCTTTACTAAGAACTTCGTCGTAGTCTTTATTATAATATCTTCGTAGTAAGATATCTAGTAAGATGAAAGAGATACGATTTTTACGCGTTAATAGATCGATAAGATCTAAAAAATAATAATTTAGATTTCTCGATATAGAAGCTTACTAGGTGTGAATAGAAGTCTAAATATCGAGATTTACCCGACTATTAAAGACTTCTTACCACTATTATATTAAAATAATTAGATATTCTTCTTAATAGTTTATATTATATAATAAATATATCTTATACGCCTTCGCGTAATTCTTCTCTAACTAATTATAAAGCTATTACGCGTCGTAAGATTAAATTCTTTAAGACTATAAACTTTCGAGCTTCGAATTAATTAGTTAAAGATATCTATTATAATAAAAATATTAAGTTTAATATAGACTATATATAGCTATAAAGACGAAAACTATAGAGATTCTCTAGTACTAGATATTTTAAAAAGTATCGTTTTAAATATACTTCGAAGATTATAATTAAAACTCTTAAGAAAATAATTATTTTAGTCGAGAATTCTATACGCCGAGTTTTTATCTAATTAAAATATTTTAAAGTTAATATAAGCGAATAAATACTTTAACGATTATTATAAGCTCGAATTAATAACGCTTAGCTATATAAATATATTTAGATTAAGATAATTAGCGAGCTAAATCTAAAAGAATATCGAAAATATAATATACGATATCTCGAATAGATAGTAAACGATCTTTAATAATACGTAGTATTTACGAATAAGGCTTATTATTCTTATAATATAATCTCTTAGAATCGTATATTATATAAACGAGGTACTCGCTATAACGTTAAGAATCTTTAAAAACTATCGAATCTCGAATTATACTTCGTCTATATCTCGAGAAGTATCTTTTAGTATTATAAAGAGATTATTAAAATTAGTATAGATGCGATATTAGTATAAGTAAGATAGAATAGAATAATAAGACTATCGAACTATATAGATGAAAAGAAGATATAATATAGTAGAAGATATCTTCGTTAAGGCTCGCTAGTTATAGAGCTAAGTAATATATTAAGAGTACGCTTATAATACTACCCCTCTCTCTTAATAGTTATGGCCCCCATAGCTAATAGATCGAAGATATACGTCTATTGCTTATCCTATGTCTTTAAACATTCATAGTCCGTATAGGTCTCGATTGAAGACGATTTGCCGAGGTGTGATGGTAGTAGTCGAATATCGGATGATTTTAATTCGTTTAAAAATATTATATTCGAGATATTACTAAGTCGTATACTGGTCTTAACTATATTATATCTATATTATTCTTTAGAGATTCTAAAGATATAGCTATATCTCGCCTACGTATTAATAAGATTCTTTATTTTCTTCTCTAGTCTTCTTACTATAGTTCTTCGATAGAATTAAAGAAAATTTAACGTATACTTATATTATAAATCCCCTCTAATACCTATTAGCAGTCTAGCCTAGAAGCTTTACTATAGATTTATTCTATATCTCCTATACTCTTATTATTAAGTTTATTTATTTTATTCTTTATCTTAACTCATTACTAATTCGTAGATTTAATAAGAAGATAGAAAAAAAATTAAATGTATTAAATGTTATTTGATAGTAGGCTTACTATATATATTATCGATATACTTAATAAAGAGATCGAACGTAATCGTATTATCGAGTTTATTTCCGTCGCTATTATAGTAAGCTTATTATAAGTATATTATCGATATACTTAATAAAGAGATCGAACGTTTACTATTATTATAGTAGACTTATTATAAGTATATTATCGATATACTTAGTAAAGAGATCGAACGTTTACTACTCTTATAGTAGGCTTATTATATATAAGATTTATAATAATTTCTTTCTATTATTAATTCGCTAGTCGTACGAATAGTTTCTATATCTTATTTATCCCTCGCCTATAGTTTTAGCGAGTTCGATTCGCTATAAAATCGAGTTACTTATCTAGTAGACTTTTCTAGAAATACGATAACTTAACTTAATTTCTTGCTAAAGCTCTTACTAGCGCGTTTCTTTAAATTCGTTCGCTAATTCGAATAAAAGGGGGTAGATCTTTAATAGCTGTTTAGTTACTCTACTATCCTCGAGTATATAATTAGAAACTCAGTTATATACTTATATAAGTTTCTCTTCGTCGAGTATATAAAGAAGTCTTATTATAATATTAGAACTAGTATAAATACGATATTAATATAAGTGAGATAGAATAAAATAATAAGACTATCGAACTATATAGGTGGAAAGAAGATATAATATAGTAGAGAATATCTTCGCTAAGGCTCGCTAGTTATAGAGCTAAGTAATATATTAAGAATACGCTTATAATAGAGATTACTATCTACTATAACGAGAATAACTTCTTAGCTATAAAGATTTCGAAGTCTTATAAGCTTATAAGACGTTCTAAATATAAAATTACTTTAGAATACGAGTAACGTATTAAAGACTAAAAAGAATCGCTATTATACGATCTCGAGATTAAAGAATTTAATAACTTAATAACTTAAGAATACTACGTTAATAAGCTTCTATTAAATTATATCGAAAAGATATATTACTTACGTATATAATTTAATCGAGATATCTTAATAGAGAATAATAATAGAAGTTATAGTAAGAAATCTAAATTAGTCGAACGAGCTAATTAACTACGTAAGATTAATTAAGTTAAAATACTTAAATATTCGATCTAATTATATAACTTAAATTCGAAAGAGAATATTTGAAATATATATAAGATTAGAGTTTATCGCCGAGAACGTCGAAATAAGACGGAGTTACTATAAATCATTTTCGAGAAATTTAAGAAGATTTCTATATACGAGATTCGAGCTCGTATCGCTGAAATATCTTAACGATATCGATAGCTAGTAGAAATAGATAATAGACGTATTAAATCGATATTATAATGATATAATAAAGGAATATATATAGTAGATTCTTAGTTTTCTTTAAAAAGGGGGGGGGGGGGGGGGGAAACTCGGGGGTTGGGGGGTTTTTCCCCCCCTGGGGGCTTTTTATAAAAAAAAAAAAAAAGGTTTTTTTTCTTTTTTTTTGGGGGGTTTTTAAAAATTTTGGGGAGAAGTAGGGATTTGAGGTTTTGATTGGGCTTATTGGATTTAAGATTCCGCATTTCCTAGTATTGTGCGTTTCCTCATGAAACTAAGTAGACGTCTTCAATGGGTTTTGGACACTGGTAACAGAAGATGACGAATTAATCAAGTCGGTCCGAAATTTACGTACGCAGATCGTGCATCGTTTACTGGAATTGGGGTTCGACATTTCAAAGTCAGCACTTGCAAAGTGTAAGCACAGCGCGCTTTCCTGATCGGGCAGGTGCTTGGCAATCGCGAGATACGATCGATGTGATCGCTGCAGGAACGGAAAACCTGCATGCTTGGGCAAGAAACCCCGCAGATTTAGTGAGGGGATAGCCGATTGCGTGATAGTAGGACCATCGCTTTTTAGGAGGATTCAGATCTTGACCATACCTCGAGGCGATGGCGTACCGCATTTTAGGAAAACTCCTATCGTGAAGCTACTTCGAGATGATGTTTTACTCGTCTCGGAACAATAGATCCCCCTGACAGTCGTTTGAGCTCTGTGAAGTGTCACCACCATGGATCCACTAAGCTTGAGTGCCAGCATCATCGCCGTGCTACAGCTTACTGGAATGTTACTGTCGTACATAAATGATGTGCAGAATGCGACGAAAGATCAAGCACAATTAGCAGTAGAGGTCTCAAACATCTACAGTCTCCTCATATCTCTCAGGTTTCGGGTAGAGCAGTCTAAACTGTCACGATCCGTGGTTCACGGCTGTACGCAGCCTGGGAATAGAAGATGGACCTCTTGAACAGATAAGGAGGGCTCTACAGCGATTAGTACCAGAGGTTGAACCATCCCGCGGCATGAAGAAGCTAGGAAAGCAGCTTATGTGGAAGTTTGAGAAGTCTGAGATGGGTGATATTCTGGACCAAATCGAACGAATCAAAACACTTGTCAGCATTGCTCTCACCGATGACCTTTTCAGTCTTTCCCAAGCCATGAAACAAGAGCTCAGTGCCATAGGTAAAAGAATTTCTGGGATCAATAATGGAGTCATAGCACTTCATGACCGTCAGCAGAGAATAAGCGAGGGTGTTTCGGATATTAGTGTTGGTGTGACTTTCCTCAATCTAGGACAGCAAGAGGAGGAGCGTCGCAAGATTGAAGAAATGGCTGTCTCCAATAAACTTCAAGTCTAGACAACAAGAGATCTTGAAAGGTGCGGAACCTGGCACCCGCCAATGGCTCTTCAATTCCGAGAAGTTCCGAAATTGGATCGACGCAGGTCGAGGTAGTCTATGGTGTCCTGGGATACCTGGTGCGGGCAAGACAGTTACCTCGTCACTCATCATCGATCACTTGCAATCAAAATACCAAACAGGAGATGTTGCAGTGCTTTGCCTGTTGTGCAACTACAGAGATCGAGCGGCCCAAAGTGCAGAAACTTTCATGGCGAATTTGTTGAAGCAAGCCATACAACAGAAACGGATCCTCTCACCGGAGCTCAAAACCATGTACGATGAGCGCGATCAGGGTCGGCCAAATTTTACCAAATTAGCAGAGTTGTTCAGTCACGAAAGTAGTTACTTTTCCAAGGTGTTCGTCCTGATAGATGCTCTGGATGAGACTTCAGAGCATGAAGACATTAGAAGGCTTCTGCTATCGGAGCTTCAAAGACTACCGATAAATCTGCTGGTAACGTCACGGTACGAAAAGTCGATCGAGCAACGGCTCGAGAAAGCCGAGCGTCTGGATATATGGGCCATGGCTGCGGATGTTCAAACCTACGTAAAAGCTCGAATCCCATCTGAAACCTTACTCGCACGGCATATCCAAGCAGATCCAAGCTTGGAGAAGACTATTGTGGATAAGATAGTGGAAAAGTCGCAAGGGATGTATGTTTTCCGTCCCACTCACCCTTGGATTCACGTTGGTACATTCTCGATCGTTGCTAAGACCTTCACATTTGCCTGTAAAGACCTTGCATTTTCCTCAATTGTGTTTGCAGATGACTGCTTTTGGACCTGATCAATAGATCTATTTGACTAGCATCTAGCTGTTCCCGAACAGAGCTTGCTGCTAGATTGTTGATATATCGAGATGTCTCTCACCATCTGTCAAGGCTTCTCTGCGGTCACAAAGTTAACTTTTTTCCAGGTTCATTATGGCTAGATTCCACATGGATTCCCTTGTGACTAAGACCAAGCGTAAAGATGTTCGCAAAGCCCTGGAAAGCCTGCCACCAGAACTGGATGGGATATATGAGCAGACGATTGAACGGATTGAAGGCCAAGGCAAGGATTACTCAGAACTGGCCAAACGAGTCTTCCTCTGGGTCGCAAATGCCCATCGGCCACTGTCGCCGGTCGAGCTGCAACACGCGGTTGCTGTCCAGCCTGGTATGACCGAGCTAGACGACGAAGATCTAGACGACCAAGACCTGTTGGTCTCAGTCTGCGCCGGTCTTGTAGTTCTGGATGCAGAGACTCATACACTTCGCTTCACCCGTAAGTACCATCGTCGCTCATACTTTCCTTCGCGACACAAGGCTTGTTTGTTTGGCGCTGGTGCGTGTAACCCGCTAGCCTGTCACGATTTCGAAGACAGAGTAGCGATTTGCGTATCCTATGACCACCAGGTCCGGAGGTATAATTCAGTCGGGCGTTGATCATTTAGATTGGATCAAAATTAGGGCTGCTAACAGGTCTTTTCGCAAATACAAAGCTCTGTGTGATGATTGCTAATCAACCGTACTATCAGATTACACCACGCAGGAGTACTTCGACCGCAAAGGAGAGAGCCTTTTCGGGGATGCCCACGCTCACATCGCAACGACCTGTGTAACATATCTGGATTTTGTAGACTCGCCCTTGGACGATGACGGGTTACAAATAGCCGGCCATGGTCCTTTTGTCAAACTCAGAGAACTGTCCAGTCACTACCGCCTGATGCGCTACGCAAGCACAGAATGGGCAGATCATGCTCGAAGAACAGCAAATGCACTTGCTGTAGATACAGTGATAAATTTCTTGAATAAACCAAACCACGTGATTATAGATGATAGTCTCGAATACCGTGGCAATATCTCCGAGAACAATCCTAGTGATGATCTATCGCTTCGACCTTCAGCTCTACACATAGCCGCCATATATGGATTACAATACGTGGCGCAAGAACTACTCGATGAGGGCGCTCCACCAGAATGTCGCGACTTCTATGGACGAAGCCCTTTGTATTTCGCGGCCATGTTTGGTGAACCGCGCATTGTGGAAATGCTGGTAGCGAGAGATGACGTCAATATCAATACTCAAACGAATCTGCCTTGGTCATGGACACCTCTAATTGTGGCAGTATCTCACAACCGATTGGAGATCGTACGAGCCCTGCTGCAAGGCGGAGCTGATGTGAGCCTTCGTTCAAAGGATGGTACAGCATTGACTCTCGCGATCCGGAACGGGGATGTAGCCAGTACCAAGCTTTTGCTTGAAGCTGGAGCCAGCCCTGATACTCGAGATGAGAACAACAATCCTATGATATTCATGGTATTTCAAGGGGCCAACTTTTGGTCGGGTACAGACGGGATGTCTCCCTCAGTACTACTCATGGAGCTCCTGCAAAAACACGGGTCTGATCTCAAAGCCAAAGACAAATCACAAAGGACCCTTCTGCACATGGCAGCCGAGCAAGGCGATTTCAAAGCTGCACAAGTGCTACTTGCTAAAGGCCTTGATCGCAAAGCTGTCGACCTCGACGGTCAAACGCCACTGGATAAAGCTCTCGGCTGCAGACCACCGACTTATATCCATAAAACTGCTCACTATAAATTCGAGGCATGGCGTGCTACCATCGTGGAATTACTATCCGAAAAGGAGTCAGGGGTTGATAGTACTGACGGTTCTGGTGACGCCCCAACAGCGAGCTCGCAATGAGCACGATGGATACCTGGCCAAGATTCCTACCCTGAGAGAATGGAGGGTGAAGATCACACCACCTCTGAAGGTTCAAGCGAGCCAAAGGAGGAGCCCGAGCTTTCGCGGATACCAGAATCTCGTCAGCCCCCTCTCCACAATATAGAAATACTACAGTGACTCGATCTGAGCCTTTCGAACTGAAGTGGTATAATTCTATGAGAGGTACATACGGAGCATGGTTTCTTGTACACGGTTTCATGAGTGGCTTGGTGAAATTAACACTCTTTATTTTTCCCTGTATGAGAGATACACACGAGTTTGCCACAGCTGACCTAGAACGACCTAATGCTAATGCAAGATTTCTGCTGTTTTGAGTGCTATCTATCCAAAACTTCTACCCCGTTCTTTCCGCATGCAGTCTTTACTACACTAGAAAAGAAGAGGTGAAGCCTGGACTTGGTGCTCTTGTACCCGTATCGCTGCTGCGGTCGTTGTGGAAAAGAGCTTCGAATGAGCACTTCCGGCTCATGTTTGAATGTCCAGAGGTCTACCAGCACTGCGGTATTATGCTGGGAAATCCATTGCATGTTCCTGTTTTCTCGGCGCGATAGCTGTGGCTTTCGTTTGCCCTTTTGTTTTGTACATTGCGCGAAGCCATTCACTGATCCATGGAACAGCACCTTGAATGCCCTACGCCAAGTAAGGAACTATTGAAGGGAAGGTAAAGAATGGCATAATGACCCTGTCCGGGGTGTCAACCAGGGTTGTGGTGCGACATGCGCATTCAAAGTGACACGTCACTCGAAGTCAAAGGTACACTTGTCAGTCTCTAGCGAAGATCACTCATCCCCGGAAAACACCAGTACGAACATGCCGCACCACCTCACCAAACTCCCCTACTCGTATCCGCATTCGCTACTTTTCCACCTCATACCACTATTGCCCGAGGCCTCATCTCGCTCTCAGCCTAAGCATAAGACTCACACGCGCTCATCATCATGATCATACCATCTAGCCGTCTTACATCCACCTGGCCGTCGAGAAGTCCAACTGCGCCATACAAGACGAAATCAGATTCTGGAGGCACACAGTTTAGTTCGCGCCCTCTCAACCATTTCCCCGATCTTCATAGTCCGCCACTGAGATACTCCCGAGTCAAGACCCACTCGCAGCTCGGAGACATCATACTGAGCCAATTATACCGCCGCAAGCGACGTATGCTCCGACGGTTTTGCAGCCAAAACGGTACCAAGAAGCGCGAAAATAAATTGCCCCGGCGGCAATCGGGATAGTCACCACTCATCAACCGGGCAACCCATGCCCAGCCACGCGAACTCTTGGCTGAAGCGCCATCATTGGCGTTGCAATATGCACATGGAGCGAGTATCTTTGCATGCGCACGTCCTGTTAGAGTTGTCAACGTGGCGCACGGAGCTGATACCGGCCCGGTTGCGATTTGCAGGATTATAATTGAAGGATTCCGTTGAGTATACTCCCATTCAAGCTCGAAAGCCAAAAGTACCTGCATTATCATTATCATTGCTAAGATACCTATCCCTATCCTGATCTATTCGCTCGTCTATTTTTCTAGGTCGTACTTGTACTGTATGCTAATTCAGAGACGATGTTGGACTAATTGCAAGGAAAATTCTGAATCGAGAAAGACTGCTAGCAAGACTGACGAGTGGCTGCACAGCTGCAACGCTGACACCATAAGTAATACTGAGCCATGCCATATGCGGCAATTAGTGCAACTTCGAGCCTAGAGGAGCGAGTCGTATAAGCTAGGGTGAGACGATCAATATGCACGCAGGCAATTGGAGTATACCAATCCTGGGAAAGGCAGCCAGCTCCAAAATGTTATCCGCAGCATAGAGGAGGATACTGTGTTGATAAGTATAGCATCAATTTCCTTTAAGACGAGACTCTGGTAGCATACCCCAGAACTAGCGCTGGCAGAGCTGCGTAAAATTGCGATCGTGATATCTTGTGGGGAAAATTGGGCCTGAACGAGGGGTCAGACGCAGCCTCATCCGCCAGGAGTGGACGCGAGCTGTCATCTTCCAGATCATCATCTCTGGAGTCGTCCATGGTCGATGACACCCCTCACGGTATGATGGATGGCATATAGAGAAAGAACAAAGACTCTGAAAACGAAGAGATTCAGAGCGAGCTTGTGAATTTGAAGGACAGATAAGTTGGCATACCCAGGATAAGCCCGGCGCTGTTTCGATTGGTGATAGGTCCTGCCGATTTCATAGGCTATGCCCAATACGATTAGAGCTAGTACTTGGGGGCAGATACATTTGCAAACTCGCTTGCTAACTCGCTGGAGATTTCCCCTTTTGCACCACCCGATATTGGCTTATGGCACATAGTGATTCGGATGCCTTCGGGGGTCAATTCCAGCCTTTCTGGTATGACACGTGGGTGACAGAAGTCGTCGTACTCCCTGTGATAAGGAACGCTGGATAGCTCCACAGCGAAAGATCTGACACAGAAGAGCTACGTATGTTAATTGTGGGTCTTATTTAATCAAGAACATATTCTTCGCCAGAGTAGTTTGTCAGAATATCAGGATGGAGAAAAGTAGTGTGTAGATTGATGAATATCCATCTCAGGACCGGGCCAGTATTTGACCCCCACAAATTTGGTTCCAACAGGTGGCTGGGAGGAGCTGGGACCTTACTCACATAGTTGGATTGGAGAAGCATCGATCGATTTATGCTGATTATTAATAAGACAGTGGGATCTCTTGACTTCTGTCACCCGCGTGGCATTAGCTCCGCATATGCGCCAGGTGGACTAAGGGGGGGGGGGGTTTTTTTTTCCCCCTTTTTTTTTTTTTTCCCTTTTTTTTTTTTTTATAAATTTATAATATTTTAATCAAAAAATAATATTTTTTTTTTTTTTTTTTTTTTTTTTTAATAAAAAAAAAAATTTTTTTTTTTTTTTTTTTTTTTTTTTTTTTTTTTAGAAAAAAAAATTTTTTTTTTTTTTTTTTTTTTTATTTTTTTTTTTTAAAAAAACCTTTTCTACCTCTTCTTCTTCCTCCTCTTCTACTACTTTCTTATCTCTTCCGCCTCTTCCACCTCTTCCATCTCTTCCACCTCTTTTATCGCTTCTACCTCTTCCACCGCTTCTATCTCTTCTATCTTACTACGGTGAAGTCTTTGATAAAGCCTCCGGTGGAGCCTCTGATGGACCCTCCGGTGGAGCCCGCCACTATGGCGGAGCAGCTCCTCATCTAACTCGCTATTATTGCTGTGGTGGAGCGAGGTTTAATAGCATCAGTGGGCCTAATGTGGGAGGTGTAATTATGGGAGGTGCAGTAGCCTTTTTCTTGATAGAACTTCTACCTCTCTTCGTGTTTTCAAAAATAGCTGATTCGAGGTAATATATACTTCAAAATTGCTTCTTAAATTCCTTAATAGTTATATTATCTAATCGCTTTTAAATAAACTTAAGAGTTATAATTTATTCTTTGCTTTAGTATACTTATTTATATTTAATTTTATTCTTTTTCTATTACTTTATCTTAATAAGATTATCGTTAATAATTTAAAGTAATATATTATTTACTAGCGCTAAATTATATACTTTTTCTAGCTTTTCTAATAATATTAGATTAATATTCTTAGTCTTAATTTATTAAACTAGCTAATTAACTTAATTTATATTTAATAAAATAAAGAGTATAAATAGAGAGTTACTATTAGATATTATAATTATTATTTCTAGAGATAAAAGCGTAATAGATCTTAAATCTAATATCTTAAGTTTTAATTTATCGAGAACGATTTATAACTAAATTAAAAATAGTTTACTCTTTTATTATATATATCTAATAGTTATTTTCTTTATAGTATTTATTCTTATTATTTAAATAAATTAAATAAAGTCTAACTTATTTATTAAGTAGTTATTCTTAAGTATAATATTCTTTATTAAATATCTACGATACGCAATCGCTAAAGATTAAAAAAACTCGATATTTAATAGTTAAAGAATATATATAATATAAGTAGATGAATATAAGAGAATAATATTATTATTAATATAAAACTATATAACTTTAGTATTAATATAGAATATATGTCTGTTATAGATAAGGAGACGATATTTTTCTTTTAATATTTTTCGAGTTTATAGTTTAAAGTATTTATAAAGAATAAGTTAAAAGCTAATTATATAAAAAGAATTAAATAGAATATATCTAGTAAATCACTTTAAGTCTAATACGTTATTTATTTAATTATTTTCAATTAACGCAATAACTAAATTCTTTCTCTTTAAGATATTAAATTAAGCTTTTATCTAAATCTTACTTTTAAAGATAATAAATAAAGAAAGAAGTCTTTTATTTATAAATATATATTTGATAAGAGTAGCTCACTCTCTACTCTTATTCTAAGTTATATATATATATATATTATACTTAGAATATATAACTTATACTTTATTAATAGCATTAAGAGTAATTTCTTTCTTATCTATATTATATATATCTTTTATTTAAATATTATACTTCTAAATTACTAACTTAATAAGCTAAAACCATTATAATAGCTTTTTTATATTATGAATTATAGTATATTCTTTATTTAAAGACTAATTAAATCGACTTTATAGATCTAGATAATAATTTATAAAATTAGCTATCTAATTTATATCTAATTCTTCTTTATCTCTCTTTATTATTAGTATTTTATTAGTTATATAATAAATAAGATTAACTCTAGAAGATTAATCTTACTCTACTACTTATTAAATCTATATCTTTAAAGCTTTCTCCTCTATAAGACTTAATCGCTATTAATCTTTAGTTAATTCTTAATAAAAACGATTATTAGCGATACGTCGTCTAAGAGTAAAAGAAGTAATTTTATAATATAATATAATTGATTTAGTAGTAAGCTTCTTTTATTAAGAGTCTAAGCTATTTTTATATACTAAAAGAGCTTAATTATACTTATTAAGTATAATCTTTAAATATTCCTTCTTAGAAATCTCTTCGA